TTTGCCATCTGCTCTTGAGTAGTCTTTTTCTGGGCTGAGGTAGAATGTGTTGCTCCAGTATTCATATTCTCATTGTTCGGGTAACTCCCAAAACCCTTCCCTTCAGTCTCAGCCGTGAGAGTGAAGTGCCACTTTTTGGCGTTTTTCTCTCTTTGAAGCATAAGTGTGAGAAACTCCCATTTAGACAGAAGGCTACCTAAGGTGAACTTGAGGCCTTAGGGATCATAGGAAACTCGGAACTTGACCCACTCTTGTAAGTGCGTGTACCAAGCAATGTCTGGAGCACTCGCGGTGTGCAGCCAACGACAACACAGACACAGACAAAGCATAGCTTGACTGGCACGCTCAAGTACACCCTCTTATGCTACAGGCACACAAATATCTCATCTGCTTCAGCAAATGGCAAAGCTAACAAGGCTTAAAGAATGTTTCTTCTCATGCTTTTTCTCCCAAAATTGTTATGTTCTCATCCCCATTAGATCCGGAACGGCGGCCCTAGGGGATGGGAGGCGAAACGGTCTGGCGTGTTGCAACACCTTGTCGACCAAGTCACATGNACGGCGGCCCTAGGGGATGGGAGGCGAAACGGTCTGGCGTGTTGCAACACCTTGTCGACCAAGTCACATGCCAGCTTCTCCTATAATCATAATAATACACCTCTTTGTAAACAATATCTAATATATTGATCAAGCATTTACTCAATAAGCATCACTATGCACTCAAGCCCATATCCATGGTTCAACCAAACCTCGCTCTTGCACAACGAGCCCGGCAGTGTTGCCGTGATTGTAATGAGTATTCACTAGAATAAGTACTTCGTCATCTTTGCGACTTCCGCTCTCTCGTCATTTAATTCCCCTTCCCCAGCCCAGCCAGTGACGGGGTGCCGCACTCCAACAGATAGCCCTGCTATGAACCATTCATACAGAAGATGCGTGTCCATATTTGACCTTCTGATATCGATATATCTTGGTAGAGGTAGTGTAGGGTGGTCTTCCTACAGTTACCACAGGAGCATTCACTTGGCCTTGGTAGGTTGCATGCAAGCAAATACAAACGTCTTACAAGTGTATTCAAAGGTAAAGCATGCAGTAAAGGAAGCTTCGTTGAAGCTTCCTTGTGCTCACACGTGAGGCTGGCTTGCATAACCAGCTGCAGCGAGGTGCACTGCAACTCCATTTACTCTGCATGCTACTCCGCAACCCAAGGCCCTGAGCTCAATGCCCAGGATGCCTGGGGACAGGGGGAGGATCTCAGTTGCTTCGGGGGAGACCCTTACCGCAAGCTTTTGGCTTCATTGCAGCTCGCTTATGTCCTTGAATAAGGCCGCGAAGCGCATATAACAGGTACCTTCGCATATATGAATTTTTTTTTAGGCGGTGGAGTTCGCGGCTCGCGCCTATCTCTCCTAACCATGCGGAGCTACCAAGGGTAACGGGAGCCCTCGACATTAGTCGAGGAACGCCTTGTGCTGCAGTAGAATCAAAATACTAAAACTAAGCTGCCGAAATCATGTGACGTCACTGCGAATCTCCAACAACCGTGAACGCAGCGGTATAAGGGCCGAAGTCTCTTGCGGAAGGGAGGGTCTCTGTCATACGATGAGCCGCATCTGACCGGAACTCCTGCTGCACATGCATTCATACCCTAACCTCCGTTTTGACGAACGAACTAACTCTACATGAAATCGTTAGAGTATTGCTGGACCATCAGTAGACAGACTGCACGCAAGGATAAATAACCCTGGCAACTTCAGTGAGACGACATTGCATCTCCTTATGCACACCGTATTCACAACCACACTACGGCAGCCGCCAAGCCCCATATTCATGGATAATAGAATCCTGCAAGCGTCTGATCGAGTTCGTGAAGCCCTAATTGGAGTATTGGCGCCAAGACGGAAGGCGGGAGCCGTCTTTAGTTGAAGAGGGTTGCTCATCCTGGCGAAGCGCCGCAGAAGCAATACAGCCAGGTAAGTATATAGGGCTGGAACTGGGAGGATGTCGAATGTAGTAATTGTGGAATAAGTAAAGGGAGAGTCTAGTCCAATTACGTCGTAACACAACGCATCGATGGCTGTCTCTGGGGCTAGAAAGGCCCGTTCGGCAACTGGCCTGGCTGAAAAACTGCTTATCTAGAAATTTTCAAGTATTCAAATTCATTCGTTTGAAATTTAATGGGTGTTCTGCGTGGGAAATGGGCTTACCGACTGTTGATAAATATACAAGATGCAGTACACCAGACTCAGTACAAGGTAGGTAATGCGTGTCGGCACTGACTTTCCTACACTCTGGCAGGAACCTGCTGGTAGACTGCACGCGTAAAAGAGCTTCTGTAGGCAAGATCTATTTTGAATGTGCTTACTGGTTAGATGGTATAAGAATTCCCAGGACAAGCTTCATGCCACTCCATACCTATTCCAGTCTCCAGCGACCCGAGCAGCCCCAACAGAGTCTGTGTCTGAGGCCTTCTACAGCATAGCCCAGAACCATGTCAAACCCTGCTCAGCCATTTTATTATTATTAAGGGACTTCGCGCTGCTAGGCTGGGTGATTTCAAGCCGAGAACAGCGTACACTCCGGCACCGCGGGTTCGGGAGCCCCTGCAATTCTGCTGGGCTGATGCTGCACGCACAACCAACCACCCACCGTCTTGTGTGTAAATTTGGTTATGACAGGAAGCTGTAGAACCGGAGGAATTTTACGAGTTTCAGCTCTTCTTTCGAGTAACGCACAGTTGCAGTAGCTGTGATGCCACAATTTAATATCGATGCTCGTAGGCCGCCATGCCCCCTCCCACCCTTAAGGTTTTAAATGTGGCGGAGAAACCGTCAGTGGCAAAAGAAATAACGCGTTTACTCGGCGGCAATAATGTGCGCAGGGTGAGCTGCAGGTTTACCTGCACAAACTTGCTCAGCCACCAGCACAACGAGAGCGCAAGAAGAATAGGGCGGATTTAGTTTCATATTTGTGGGGCGACCCTTTTGGACCCATCAGTTTTTGATCTTCCTGTAGACTGTTTTGTCTTCTTCAGCTACAAAGCTCGAGCACGTTTAACGCGGTCACCTCCTTCCCCTGTATCCTTCAAGGCCAAGAATGCGAGATGATATTTACCTCTGTCCGAGGGCAAGCGTTTATCAGTGTTCTTCACAACCCGAGACTATTTAGACGCAGAACGCACTCTGACTCTGTCGCGCCTCCCAACTGTCAGATGAAAAGCATACCCGTTGTGAAATTAGAGCGTTCTGCGGAACTGAGCAAACGAAGGGCTGTGCTTTCCGCCGCAGGCATCTCATGTCCCTCGATTTCCCTGCACCCTTCTCATCTTGGAACGCTGTTTTTCCTGAAGCGCTTTTTACAGGTGAGTGAAATTCTGCCCTTTTGATCCATAACCTCGGCGTTTTAACCAGTTTTTGATGGGGCGATGCGCATCATCCATTCACGCACATAACGGTGCTTCAGATTGTTCCCTCTCTGTTGAGATTCTACTGTTCTAGACACATAATCGTCTCTGCACAGGGGGCTTCAAACGAACGCCCTCTTCGTTTTTATTTCGTCCGGATTATTTGACTATTTTCCGATTGCGGCCTCGTTTTGTGTTCGAATGTCGTGCCGCAGCCCCTGTGCTAAAACGCGTCAGCGACTCCGCGAAAGACATCGTCGAAAATCTGAAGACGTATGCGAAGAAGTAAGCACATTTGTCAAACGGAAGAACGGGCTCCTTGCCCCAGCTTTGTGGATAGCAACCAGCTCGGAGTCCTCAGCAAAGGGATTTATCGAGAAAAAGAATGTCAGCCAAACATTTGTCGGGTTTTTGCGCAGGTGTCAGTGGCTCGTGTTGTGGCTCGACTGCGACCGAGAGGGAGAAAATATTGCTTTCGAGGTTAGACATTGGCGGCGATGAACTCGTACCGATAGTGTAGAAGGACCCCTTCATTGTCAATTTTCCACCTGTTGGCTACAATGTTCGTGGTTTACAGAGATTGCGACGTATTGTTGTAATGAGCCGTGCGCCTCACAGGTGTTACAAGTGTGCAGAGAAGCAAATCGGAACATTCAGTCGTTCCGCGCAATTTTTTCCGCCGTGACAAGTAGGCGAATCTCGATTCCCTTTCGACGCTTGCAGTGACTGGATTTGCACGCTGGCATGCGTTGCGTTCCAAAGTGCCATTCTGCACATATGTGATCCTTTCAGGGCAAGACATCGAAAGGGCGTGCCAGCGTCTGCAACAACCAAATGAAGCCCTTTCACAGGTATGGGATGAGGTAGTCCTATTCCTTCAGACAAGAATATTTAGCTCAGGACAAGTTTTTTCGGGAAGATGAGCCGTTTATGTATAGCTTGAATGACAGATGTTTTTATTGCCATTTCTACACTCCATGCACTGTGTGNCCTTCCGTGCCCCAGGTTCATGATCCACCGCCAACCTGTTTTACTTGCTTTCGACGCAGGCAGCAGATGCCCGGTCTGAAGTCGACTTGCGCATTGGTAAGGGAAAATGGTGTTTGGTTCCGTTCATTCCCTTCTGCACTTCGATCAGACTGACACATTAAGCGGACCGTTTGCTGGAGCGCTGCGCAGGCGCCGCCTTTACGCGATTTCTCACAAAGCGGTACCAGAATAAGTTGTCGCTCCAGAAGGGACTCATAAGGTAAGTGCATTGCTCCTGTTTTGCTTGACATGGGACAAACCTAACTCTGGATAACTCTAATGAGTAGGCTGTTACTGAAGACGTTCGCGCAGTAGGTTTTTCTAGCGAGAGAGTAAGCTCATTGGCGTTGTGCTTTCAACTGCAGCTATGGTCCCTGCCAGTTCCCCACCTTGGGTTTCGTTGTTGAACGGTAAGTAGATGCGCAACACTTCGGTCTCTGTTGCCTTCGCATTCCTGACTCTGCATTGGATTCGTCACAACAGCAAATCAGAAAATGGCTGTAAGACGATCCCAGCCCAAGCCCAGATCGCCTCACAGCTATACTTCCTTTGTGGCCTACAGATACCTGGAGGTCGAAAAGTTTGTCGCGGAAAAATTTTGGACTCTTCGAGTCACTGTTGACAGGTGGGCTCGACAGACTACCATCCAGCGTGGGATTAAGACTATTTTTGCTCGAAGTCGCTCCAGCAGCGTGTCTCAACTTATATGGTATGTGATTGTTGTCTTGAATCCACACACAGAGACGACGAGGAACGACCAGGTCACCGTCTCCTCGTCGACTTCCAGTGGGAGCGGCAGCGCCTTTTTGACCAGTAAGGCCTAGGAGCGAGGCTCAACACTCAGTGAAAAAGTATGCTCTACGATGAAAGCATCTAATTGCGTACACATCCACGCATACAAATTTCTAGCCGGTCTTCCATGCCATTTTTACTAAGTAGTTTCACCGCACCCAAGTGAATTTGCCCCTGCAGAGCCGTCGTAATCGCTTGTCTCGAGCTCTGCTGCGAGAAACCAGAAGCGCTCATCACTGCAGTCGAGTGCCGCGAAGTTACTAGACCCAGACCCGTCCCTCTGAGTGAGCCGTTCATAGGCAAACAGCCACCGTGTTGATGACTGCCGATTCTGTGTTCACGATATGGACAGAATGCGTAAACCAGCAACATCTTTTTCGTCCGCCTGGTTGGAATTTAGCTGTGCCG